TGATAGCGGCGCGCTATTGGACGATCGCCTCGTCTACTTGACGAACAGTGTCTTCGATTCCGCTTCAAGTCGCACTGTGGTCTGCGCGACGAGGCTCTTCGCACGTGGTCAGCAGGTGGTTGAGAAGGTCGTGCTTATGTGCCCACAGTTCGACGCGAGGTCGGGTCGATATACTTACGGCCTGCAGTCCATGATGGGCGAGTACGCCCTCAGTGTCGTCGAAGTACTCAAGGAGTCCCACGATTTCACGGCGGCAAACACAGCGCTGAGGAGCCACACGATGCTGCAAGTGGTCTCCGACATGGGCACCGGGAAGACGTTGTTGTGCATCGCCTACATCTTCGAGGTGACCCATGTGCCCAACGCCTGTTCTCATCAAATCTACCGCCTCGTCAACTGTTGATCGGAGATAGGGATCTGCGTCATTTTTGTGATAAGTCTTTATGTAATATATATATGTATATATGTATAGGTATGTCACATGTGTTTGCAATAGATTATTCTTGTCTGATTCGAAAATATTGTCATGAAGTCTAATGAAATGAATAGGATCGAAAGTTGAGGTGAAATCATTGAGTAGTCCCGAATAAATAAAATAGAGAGTCTGATCGCATCGGAAAAGACCGAATGAAGATCACTCAGATTCCTCATCGATGATTCGACTGTAGTTTCTCTCTCTGAAGGCGAAACGAAACACACGATGTGAAGCTCCATGTGGCCGGAGAAAGGAAACCTCGAAATGCCTGTGGCAAGCAGAGTGGGATTGTAGCAAGCTATGAGATGGCTGACGGGAACAATAATCGAATAATTAGGAATGCGAGGCGAGGTGGAAAGTAGGGAGAGGTATGGGGAATGAGAAAAATGGGAAGAATATGAGGAAATCCAAGAGCAGGAGAGGGAAGGACCAAAGAGGTGAAAAAGAGGGACGGGGAAAACAAGGGAGAAGATGGTCAACCTTCGAATCGAGAGAAGCGCAGAGCAAAATCCGATATCACAAGAACAGGCTCGATGGAGCCCGAATGATGGCCACGCATGATACTTTCCAGGATGGCCACAACGAGGATAACACTAACAGCGCCAAGAAGAATGTATTACTTCAGCGTCAAATACTCATGCGGAAATATACCGCTGGTATACACGGAGGACCTCAAACCGAGAATGACTCTTTTCAATAATGTGGTGAAGAAACACATCAGAGAAAAGATGGATGAGCTCGGGAGAGAGGGAATATACTCTAAACCAAGCCTCGAGCTACACAGCAAGTGGAGTAATGCACCCACCCCAACAAACGGTCCGTATAGGAACCAGCACTTTGGGGTGCGGCCTTCGGCCTTCGACGGGTAACCCCTACTCGGTCACGGCGCACGATTTCGGCATCTTGCGGGGAAAAAAAACAGTGGTAGGTTATATCTTCGACACTATCGTTCGGCGTGAAAACGTCAGATTCATTCGGTGTTGTTCTGCTGAAAAGGACTGAATAATGTTTTGAACTTGAAATTATTCATCCCAAATCTTGATAAAAATGGGCAACGGTTGGATTGAGATTCCATTCTGGCTTCGGGGTCCGTCTTGACTCAACTAGACGGGTTCAACACTTCTTGGTAATGGTAATGGTAATTTATTAATCTAGATGGGTCCTCTATGTATATTACAAGATGGCGCATCAGCCTTTCATGTCAGGCGCTATTAAGCAGATCTTTGGTCTCCTTCTCCCATTTTTCTAGGATTCGTTTGGTTTTTGCTACGATCGAAGGGTCCTGTATTTCCTCTTGGAGGCCTAATCTTGAGAGGAAATCTTCGTCCGTGTAGTATGCGTCGTTGCATTCGAAGATCACATGTTTTACGGTCTCTTCAAATGTTCCGCATCTGGGGCAGGTGTCCTCCTGCTGTGGGTCAATAGACCTACCTCGGCTTTTCGTTGGTAATATTCCCGCTCTGGCCAAGGCCAGGAGAGTGTCCCCTCTTCGGTTTCCGTAGAGGAAGGTTTGGATACCGAGGCTGTTCTTGCCTTGCCGGTAAACTTCTAGGCTTGATTTCAGCATCATGTCCTGTCTCCAGACACTCTCCTGGGACTCTCTAATTTCTTTTTTATCTGAGAGTTATAGGTATTCAAACATGGTGCTCCCGAGATTGAATATGCAACTTCGATTGTATCGCAGTTGTATGTCCTTTTCAGGTGTTCCGTTCTTTCGTACATCTTTGTTTGTATGCCCACTATCTTCATCATGCTCAGTAAGGCTGTTGGCCACCTGTCATGAGACATGACTTCGATTCTTTTCATATACCTCAGTTTGCTTTGGGCTTCCCTCCCTTCAAAGGAGGACCACCCGAGCTCGCCGGTGATAAATTCGTTCGCGGTTTTATAGGATGTGATTCCTAATGCCCATTTCCCCGCGTCTCTCTGCCGTTGCTCGAGTTTTGCGAGTAATTTCCCTGTTGCAATGGTTACTGCGTTTGCGTAGGTCAATTGTGGTACCGCGTCTTATAATATATTGAAGTCGCGGTGAAATTATTCTCTCGCACACAGGATCCAATTTGGGCAAGTCTGTGGGTTTCGGTGGGTATGTATATCCATGATTCTACTGAGATTCGGTACTTTCTTATTCCTACAAATTTTGTAGCAATTGTGGCATAGTCTGGAACTGACGGCATCTTCGTCCGGGAAATATGGTGCCAAATAATGTGCCATCTGCGAGCTGATCGGCGTCAAGTCCCGTACAAACCAGATGCGATCGCAAAACATCGCATTTGTGTCCAAATTCATCATACGAATACATGCGACGGAACTGAATAGTGGCACGTTCCCATAATTGAGTGTATGTGAAACATCGTGTCAGCTCAACTTGACCGTCATGAGAATCGTCCCGACTTGGCTGGTCGATCGATGTTGGAATGTCATTTGATTCGTTAACCTTCCTGCGGGCATCGTCAGCACCAGTACCACATGACACGACCGATGAAGTCTCTCGGCGACGCTTCCGATATTCAGCTGATCTCTCAGCAGAAGTTTTCTTTCTCTTCACTGCCCTGCCCGCTGGAGCTTCCACTCGCCGTATGTTCTGCCTTATGCTGGTGGGTTTTGACCGCATCATGGAAGATTCACAATCTCAAATGATCAATGCCGATGACTAATGAAGAATTTAATGTAATGAACTCGACGGATTCCTCCCTTAATAAGAAGGAAGAAGAACCCTTGAGTAGCACTAGGCTTATACCCCGACCAATACCTCAATTTTGGATGTATGATCTAGAATCTACATGTTCGGGATTGAGCGTTCAATTGACACCACTCATGATTCCCTATTTTTCCACTCATCTCGAGCTCAACTCTTCTCACGAATTTCAAGATGATTCGCGCCATCTGTTCGAATTTCACCTCCTCGCACTCCTCCGCTGCAGAGAGGTGTACTCCCATCGACCAGAGATTCTCGTGGCATGGCGACAGCTCGAAGGGAAAACGATAGTAACGCTGACTAAAGGAGAGAGGGGGACAAATCGGCCCCCATTGCGAAATGTCCCATGTTTCGCATGAATGTGTCCTCCCTGTGACCCCCTGAGTCGCAAATACAACGCGACCTAGAGGACTGAGAACCCCCTCGAAATCAAACAGTGATTTCGAATCAGAATAAGCTTGAGACATCTCACACAACCTTCATTCATGTCACATTTAGAGGCCTCCCAGAGGTGTGCATGAAACGCCCTCGGAAAGTGTCTCAGAAGTCGTGATTTGATACCAAAATAGAACGGTACTTTATCCCGTAAATTCGCGTACACATGAAACCAGCTACAGAGTTCTACGTTCCCAGGTTTCCGAGATCTAAAGGCAGAGAAAAGTTACAACATTTGTGACGCAAAGGACGAAGTACCCTCGATCTGTATGGTCGACGAAATTAAAGACATTTTCACGTCAAAACGATTAGCTGTAATAGATATTTGACGGCGTCCCTCAAATCAACGCACAATCGGAGCATCGAGAAGATTCCGTCGTCGTTCCTCAAGAGCTAGAGAGCTTTTTCGGAAATTTGGAGATAATTGGCATCTTGAAGTGCCCCCGCTGAAAACGATGTATAGAAAAACCATGGGAATCTCGGAACTCCCGCTGCTGCCTCGGGATACAGGAACACCGAGGCAGATACTCATCATTTGACTCTGCTTCCCTCGATTGATGAACTCCGGGAACGTGCTCCTTTCTCACACGAAAGAATGATTGCTCGGAGCTCAGCCACTTTCTGGATCTCAACTTGAAACAAGATTCAGGCCGAATCGGGCAGGTTCGAGGTTGCTCGAGGAGGATGAGGTAGCATTAATGGATTCGTTCAAACATCCGTTTTCGCCATGGTGAAGGTATCCATAGTCTTCCCCGCGTCCCTCAGAGCTGTAGGATCTGGGAGACTCATCGGACCTCCCACTATCAGGGACACCACGCTCGCTTTCCGAACAATAGATTGTTATTGATTATTGATTACTGTCAGCATGAAAACACGCCTCCATTCAACTCGAATGTCGGAAATCAAATTGAGGAAGATATTCGGGGTTCGAGTTAAGGCTCGATGAGTTTCTCGGAAGCATCCGCGGCTATCAAGTCAATTATATTCCGCTACCAATCGTATTCAATGATTCAAATCGCTTACATGTCCTCTTACGTGACGATTCAGAGACCGCGCGAGCGCTGGAAGATGAGCTGATCCCATGATTTCCAGCCCACGGCAGCCTCTAAGGAAGGAATCGACGAGCATCGAGCGGCAAGAAGCAGCTCTTATCAGAGTCGACTCAGATATTGAAATTGTGACCACGGAAGACGATTATGGCACAGCTGGTTCGGAATGTCAGGATGACGTGGTGGAAGAAGTTCTAACGGCTTTTCGAGTGATTCCCGTCATCGACTGCCTAGAGCAGAGAAGTCGAGCGTTTCTGGGGAAAATGATTCCGTCCACTCAAAACCTAGAAAGTGATTTGGCCCCAGTGTGGCGCCGGATAGGAGAATGCAGCACTTCGTTGTAGCGAAAAAGCGACACATCGTCGTACGCAAGTTCGGGAACACGTTTTTGTTCTTGGAGGAAATGCCCCGCGATTCTTGCGCGGAACTTCTCGGAGCTTCACGCTGCATCTCACGTCCGGGAGCCGACCGGTGATCGGCTCCGCGGGGGTCGTCGCACTCTGTACCAGAATGGGGAAGGGAGAGCCGTGGATGAAAATCCTATGATATTGATATCCTCCTATGAATAGCCGCTGAATCACGAGCTCCATAGTGATGACTTGAGGACTTTTAGGACGAATACAAATTGGATTTCTGTCCGAGATTGATCATCGGAATTATCATTTGTCAGTCGACCGTAAGCCGCCGAAGGAAAAGTTGTCTGGATGGAGATGCCCCGTCAAAATATAACGCCGATCGCGCATATCCTCATGCTGTTCCCCGTTTTTGCACGGGGCAGACCCATCAACGGGAATGGATGGATTATAAGATCATGATTCTGTTTTCTATGATGAGAAAACAGTGGTCGGACCCCTTCAGATGATCTTAGCCTGGAATCTGCGAACCGCCTTGATGGTGTACCCCTGCGGCGGTAAGCGCCAAAGAGGATCATAAACTAACTCTAATGATTGAATCAGCTAATTGATGATGTAATGAATGTCGGCGATTCGGCCAGCCGATCTACCCCACGAGTCTTGCTCCTCTCCACTGACGAGCTCATCGACCCTCGGATTTCGGAATCGTTCTGGGGTGCTTTCTAGATGAATTCGACGCTCTTTCACCTCTCTCAGAATTCCATTTGGGGATTATATAAGGAGCCCTCCGACGAGAGCAAAACAAGCGAAGAGTCTTCGGTCTGGAGTGTCTCAAGTAGTGAGATTTTTGCAGAACGCTTCTTCTCTCGAAAGCTCAGCAGGATCTATCGAGCCAAAGTTCTTGCAAAGATTTCTTCATCATATTCAACATCAGGGAGTCGTCAGTCAAGAAACCTCTTGTGATCGCTCCGTACTTTGCTCATCGACGGTGGAGCTCATCCTGTGCATCTTTGTTCTACGGAAGATAGCGTGGAGGAGTTTTCAAGCTTAAAGAAAATCACAATATGGCTTCTTACACCGACCTGAACGGCGCGCCGTCCTCCCGCGATGCCCCGAGGAGTGAGGCCGAGGGCGACGGTGTGTGGACAGAGGATGTCGAAAGAGCCTTCGAGGAAGCTGTGAGGCTATATCCGTCCTTCGGTCACAAGAAAATACACCCTCGGCGAGGACGGGAAGATGTACGGCCATAACGAGCTGATCGCGCTCCACATATTCTTGAGCACCGGAAAAACTCGTACGCGAAAGCAAGTGTCTAGTCACATCCAGGTGCTCGCTCGACGAGAACGTCGAAGGGCGAACAACTCAAGGATCGAGACTCCCGGGGCCAGCACGGCGTCTTCTTCTCCGATCCCCCTCGAAGGAGCTGGGCCTGCGCCTCCGATGCAAGCAGGCGCGAGGGTCCCGCCCTCGGTGCCAGCAGATGCGCGGGTCCCGCCCCCGATACCGACGGGCACCGAACAGGTGGCGGGCGTGTACGTCGATGAAGTTGCGAAAGCGAGCAGTGCTCCGCAGTATCAAAGCTCGGTCGATTGCTCCCGGCCATCACAATCCGCGGCGGCGGCATCAAGGATACCCTCGCGATGGGAAGTGCAATCGCAGGATACCGAGGTCCCTCTCACTGGCGACTTCTTCACCATCGTGCCCTGTCCATGGAGCATGGAGGAATGGAAATCGATGAGAGTCGAGAACGAGGATCTGAGACTCATCAGATTCTCGGCGTGTGCCATGTATCCACCCGGACTCAGCCGAGAAGGGGATCAGCAGCGCGGCTTCACGCTCGCCTACGCGGGGGACACGCACTGCCCAGCGTCGCCCGTGGGAGCCGTGACTATTCGCGGCCTGTCTGCTCGATTCCCAAGGGTGAGAGGCGGCCTCGAGCACTTATTTTTCGATGGCCCGGCGGAGGCTTTCTTTTTCGTCAGATGCTGGGTTGACCTTGATAGCGGCGCGCTATTGGACGATCGCCTCGTCTACTTAACGAACAGTGACTTCGATTCCGCCTCAAGTCGCACTGTGGTCTGCGCGACGAGGCTCTTCGCACGTGGTCAGCAGGTGGTTGAGAACGTCGCCCCTATGTTCCCACAGTTCGACGCGAGGTCGGGTCGATATACTTACGGCCTGCAGTCCATGATGGGCGAGTACGCCCTCAGTGTCGTCGAAGTACTCAAGGAGTCCCACGATTTCACGGCGGCGAACACAGCGCTGAGGAGCCACACGATGCTGCAAGTGGTCTCCGACATGGGCACCGGGAAGACTTTGTTGTGCATCGCCTACATCTTCGAGGTGACTCCGGTACCCAACGCCTGTCCCCATCAAATCTACCGCCTTGTCGACTGTTGATCGCGGATCGGGGATTATTAGCATTACTGCTCGTGTTTATTGTCTATGAAATATGTATATGTACTTATGTGAAATGTGCTGCAATATGTTATTTGGGTCTGATTCGAGAATATTGACTTGAAGAAATAAATGGACAGGATCGGAAGTTGGGGTAGAATCCTTGAGTTGTCCTTATCATGCTTCTCAACCTCAACAGTGGAATGACTCTGATAGCGTCGACGATTTGATGGAGTTCTCTATAGTGGAGGTGCTTCGACCGAGATCGGAGCTTACGCTTATCGCCCCTCAAGGGAACGCGGTGCCACGATCCGAAATTGTGCGCTATGAGCCGACTTTCTAGCACATCCAAGAGCGCGGGACGCGGGAACGATTTCGAAATGCTCAGAAGACTTAGAAGAAGACCGGCTCAGAAGACTCGCGTGAACGAGCAGTTTTATTCACGTATTCAAAAATTCGAATACGAAAACATGATATGGGGACAAATAGATTGAGAACAGGGGCTTAACTGCGAGCAGCGGGGAGGAAAAAGGCGGAATGCCCTTATTCGAAATTTCACGGAATATCGCAGCGATGGGCTTGTAGCGTTCCAGCATCTTCGTTTCGGGATCGCGGGTTTTGACGGAGTTCCGGAAGCTGACGCGACGGGCTCGGCTCCAAAATCATAATACTCATCGGCGGGCATCGGTATAGGCGCCGCAGAAAGATCATCGGGCAGCCGGGACGTTATTTCCTCTTGGAAGCGGAGGAGTAGACGGTTCTGCAGGAACGATGCACACCATCCACTGATTCTCGAAAAAAAGCAGTGGAAGGGTGGCAAGGGCTGCCTTATCGCCAACCCTGAACTGTGAACCAGAAATAGGCTTGACGCGTTTCTGCAAGCCGCGGAGTAGGCCTTGAGCGACACGGGTGACACTCACGTGCGGTCATTTGGCCAATCGCGGTGACCTAATTCAGAACTATGTAGAGCGTTGGAAGCCGCGTCCCGTAAAAAGCTCTTTCGTCCCCCTGCAGCTTGTCCAAGGCTACGGCGATCGGTCTCACACACGCGAGGTATTCTTGCATGTATGAAAAATCACCCGTATTGAAGAGAGTATCGAGCTGAAGTCCGGCGTCAGAGGCTGGAGGCTTAAAGCCGCCGTTAGAAAATCGTGGAGCGAATTCCATTCGTAGCCACTGGGCGCGGCGAACTCCTCCCCGTGACTCTCCGAATGATTTCGGCTGACTTCGGCAGCCTGTATGAAGCCCGAAGGGCTGTGCATTTCCCAAGACCGCGCGTATGGTGAACGGCGAGCGCCGCGTGGGTCTGCAGGATTTTCTTCACATCCGTTGTTGCGCATAGTGAGAGAGTCTGTGCAGCGCAGCGCGCATGGGATGGATGGGAGATAAGAACCGAATCATTGAGCGCTTTCCATGCGCCGAGATTCTCTGAAGCTTCGCACCGTATAGGTTTCTAGTTTTCCATGAGAAAATTGTGCGCCACCCCTCGCAAGAAAGCTACTGGCTCACGAGCCTCAATGGTTCGTACCAGCTCGAGCAACCTGGCATCCGTGTCTCGGTATCTGCGCCTTTTGGGTTTCGGCAGAGTACCGGCATTGTTCCGCTCGAGCTCAGCGTCTGCCTTGTGCTGCACTGGGCGGAGACCATCGATGAACTTCCAAATCGAAGGATGACAGACGCCGAATGCGCCCTGAAGTTTTCGATGCGCTGCTTCAGCGAAGTTGTTCGTTCGACTCTCACCTCTGAGTGAGAGTCCTTTCGAACACGGACCACATTTCCTGCGGGAACAGCGGAGTACCCCTGATGAGTCTCCCATCCAGACGAACGCCCAGTATTCGACCGACGTACGTCACTTTGAAGTAGGTGAATATGGGTCAGTTCCTCTGGCAAGACCTCCAACAGCGCCATCATCGTTCTGTCCAAAATATCTTTTCTCACGAAAGCCATCGCCGGGATCATCCGGGCCCAGAGAGAAAAGTTCGAATCCGTATTGTAACGTCTGAGGAGATTGAACGATGCAACTTTTCCTTCATATTCTTCACCAAGTGAAAGAGACAACCATGGACTTCAGCGGTCGGGAGAACCGCACTGAAAGCGTTTATGAGACCCATTTCGAAGTCCATGGCGATTTACGAGGGATTGAGAGCCGGGAAGGCTTCCATGATGAGGTCGAGCATTCGACGATACGACTCTTCCGACTTGTCTGGAAGCAGCCCGTAGCACAAGGGAATCGCGTACCCTCCACGATCGGCGAGGATCACGAATAATTGCTCGAATTGTCCCGGAGCTAGACTGAAAGTCCCATCGACGTAAATTCGCTGTACGTAAGCCACCCACTCAGCAGCCGACTCTCGACCGAAGATCAGAATTCACTTCTCATCCCCGACGCCAGAGTCGCCCAGGAGGAAGCGTTCTGAAGCTCCTGGCTCGCACTGATACATGGTGTAGACCTCTGGTACAATTATAGAAGCTCGGTCAGTCGGACAAGCGGGCGCTTGAGAGTTCTCGCCGCGTATTCGATTAATTCTCCGTTTGATAGAATCGTGCTTCGGAAGACATCCCTGGCCAGCAACGGTTAAGCTCGCCGCAAGATTATACAGCAGCTGGGAAGGAGCTTCTTGAGTAGAGAGTGCTCGACGCTTGAGCTCGGAGTTGCCAGCAGCGACCTCAACACATGCAGCATCGGCTGGATCGCTGTGTTCCCCCGCTGTGTGTGACTTTAACAACCTCGTCAGTCCCCACAGCCGTGTGCAGTCGGGCCCTGCATCTGTCTTTGAATCCACATCGCCAGAACTGTAAGGTGCCGATAAAGTTCTTCTTGTCCTGAGTGTACATGTGTCCACGGAAGGCCAACGTCAGCTTTCCACGCTCTGTTTGCATGATCTGAGATGCTTCGAAGTTGGAAGCAGCTTCCATCGCAAGGAGTCTGCGAGTAGAGCTTGAGGATTGGGGGAAATTTCACAAAGGCGAAGAAAGCGGTCGAGTGAGTTTGCTCTCCGGAAGCGAGTGTTTGTTTTCGTCTCTGGAAACCCTCAGTGGTTATTTTTTTGTTATCTGACGTGAGAAGCAAGGGAACCGAGGCTTCGACACGCATCTGAAGTTGAAGCCGCCTTGAATAGGCAAATACGCGCTTCCGGCTGTATCGTCGAGAATGAATGGACGAGGGGCGGCGTAGTTATACATAGGTATATCGGAGTCTACGAGTTTAAACTCCCCCTGAGCTTGGGATCAAGGGGACTTTCTCAGCCTTAATTGTTTCCCAGCTTCAGAACCTATAGCGCCAAATCGTTCGGCGCCGAATTATCCGCGCCGAATTGTCCGGCCCCGAATCGTCATGTACCGGACCTGGGAAATCAGCCAGTGTCGCATACTCCGAGGTTAGAACCTCTGTATAACTTAATTGTTCGAAGTGTCCTATCTTACCCCGAATCGGGTCCAGCGTCTCGTCATCGGAAAGCGGAATTATGACTGTCTGACTGTCAGGTCATCGATAAGGAACCTAATCGATCTCTCTTTACTCAGTACCCAACCGCGCTGCGGCTTGTATTAAGTATATAACACCAAGACAGTCATTCTCTACAGATGACTGACGTTATCGGAACCTAACCATTCAAAGCTCGCATTCTTCGCTCCGAGTGAATCTTCACTTCCTCAATTTGGTCACTTCATTGTCACTTGAGGCCGAAGTGCATATTCAGAAATACTGAATCATTCCATCCTGACTCTCGATGCTATTCATTCAACCTCTACGAGACTTTTGATATACATTCGAATGAGACCCGGATGGAAATTCGCTGAACGTCTCGCAGGTATGTACATTTGCATGTGATAAGACGGAGACTCCATCAAATCGTCGACGCTGTCAGAGTCATTCCGTTACTCAGGCTTAATCAGGACTACTCAATGATTCCACCTTGACTTTCGATCCTATCCATTTCATTAGACTTCATGACAATATTCTCGAAACAGACCAAAAAAATATATACACATTTCACATATGTACATTCCATATAATAAATAGTTTACACAAAAAAAAACACCGCAGATGAGTATTCCCGATCAACAGTTGACAAGGCGGTTGATTTCATGAGGACAGCCGTTGGGCACCGGAGTCACCTCGAAGATGTAGGCGATGCACAGCAAGGTCTTCCTGGTGCCCATTTCGGAGACCACTTGCAGCATCGTGTGGCTCCTCAGCGCTGTGTTCGCCGCCGTGAAATCGTGGGACTCCTTGAGTACTTCGACGACACTGAGGGCGTACTCGCCCATCATGGATTGCAGGCCATAAGTATATCCACCCGACCTCGCGTCGAACTGTGGGCACATGAGCCCGACGTTCTCAACCACCTGCTGACCACGTGCGCAGAGCCTCGTCGCGCAGACCACAGTGCGACTTGACGCGGAGTCGAAGACACTGTTCGTCAAATAGACGAGGCGATCGTCCAATAGCGCGCCGCTATCAAGGTCGACCCAACATCTGACGAAAAAGAAAGCCTCCGCCGGGCCTTCAAATAATAAGTGCTCGAGGCCGCCTCTCACGCTTGGGAATCGAGCACACAAGCCGCGAATAGTCTCGGCTCCCACGGGCGACGCTGGGCAGTGCGTGTCCCCCGCGTAGGCGAGCGTGTAGCCGCGCTGCTGATTCCCTTCTCGGCTGAGTCCCGGCGGATACATGGCAAACGCCGAGAATCTGATGTGTCTCAGATCCTCGTTCCCGACTCTCATCGATTTCCATTGCGCCATGCTCCATGGACAGGGCACGATCGTGGAGAAGTCGCCGGTGAGAGGGACCTCGGTATCCTGCGATTGCACATCCCATCGCGAGGGTATCCTTGATGCCGCCGCCGCGGATTGTGAACACTGCGAACAATGGACCGAGCTTTGATTTTTGCGGAGCACTGCTCGTTTCCGTACACGCCCGCCACCTGTTCGGTGCCTGCTGGCATCGGAGGCGCGGGCCCAGCTCCATTGAAAGGGATCGGAGCACGAAATGCTGTGCTCGCCCCGGGAGGCTCCATCCTGGAGTTGTTCGCCCCTCGAAGTTTTCGTCGAGCGAGCACCTGGATGTGACTAGACACTTGTTTCCGTGTACGAGTTTTTCCGGTGCTCAAGAAAATGTGGAGCACGATCAGCTCGTTATGGCCGTACATCCTCCGGTCCTCGCCGAGGCTGATTTTTTTGCGACCGAAGGACGGGCATAGCCTCCAAGCTCCATCGAACGCTCTTTCGACAACTTCGGTCCAGACACCGTCGCCCTCACTCCTCGGGGCATCGCGTAAGGACTACGCGCCGGTCGGGACGGTCTGAGCCGCCATTTTGTAATTTTCCTGGAACACAAAACTCCATCAGACGATCTTCCGTGGAACAGAGATGCCTAGGACATGCTCCACCGTCGACGAGCAAAGTACGGAGTGATCACAGTAGGTTTTGGGACTCACGACTTTCTGATGATGAAGTAATCTCGGCACCGACTCCTGCTCGGTCGACCCTCCTGAGCTTCCGAGGGGAAGCGTTCCGCAAAAATCTCTTTCTTGAGACACTCCACCTCTGCAATCGAGAATCGGCTGTTCTTCCCCCTCGGCTCGAGCTGGGAATCGCGCTGCGTTCGGTGGAAAACGACGAGCGAGCGCATGGCCAGGGTTTTCTGTTAGAGGAGACTCTTCTCGCGACTAGTCCCTATGGCTTTTAGAAGGGGATTGTGACGGGCAGTGATTCTCGGAGCAAAGACTGTTCCGTCACAAGTGGATTTTCATCTACGGGAATGCCTCCCTTTCTCTGGTGCAGACTTGAATGCCAAGCCAAAAACTGCGCTCCAAGTCCAATGAGAGCGTCACCGTATCGTACACCGATAGCTCACGACCGGGCTGCGTTCCGGGCATCGATCAGCGAAAGATCCGCCAGAGTAGGTAATCAGATACCACTGCTTTTCAGAGATATCCGAGCTCACGCCGTGCCCGAATTGACGGGGCCTAACTCGAGACCCTTTGCACAGAAAGTGTCGAAAGAGATTTCAAGCAGCTGCTGGAGCTCAATCCTGGGAGCGGTTTACGAGAGACCACCTCCAATCGAGGAGGGCCCAGCACTAACTGGACTTGGCACCGGTAAATCACGTACCCAGAAGCCAATGTCGACTCTTATTCGCGTCTTTGCTTGCCAGGAAACCCTCGAAGCTGAAGACTTCCTGACCAAGCTTGTCGGGGTACCCTCGATCCTTCCGACGTCAGCAGGCTTCGGATTCGTCGCGGTAGTACGAGAAAGGTGCGTTACGCACAGTCTGGACGTGAGAAGCATCGTGGAGCTACGGGGAGAACCGCACGAGAATCTCGGAAAACTTCCTTCGGCACGACTCCCTTTCTATGAGAATTCAAAGGTTGTCAGGGCTCCGAATCGTGGCTGTACAAATTCTCAGCAGGATCTGCATAAAGTAGGGAGTAGGGTACCGGAACAGCGACGACGATATCGAGAGCAAGTTCGCGTGCGACGAAGCGTCACCTTTTCGTTGTACAGGAGTACTGAATCGCATCGAACGGCGCCACGGTGGGGCAGAATGAGATTCAAGGTGGAGAAATTATTCCTAGCAAAGTAGTGACGTGTGCTCCTCCGTGAGCGGGAAAAGCACGAAAGAAGATACTACTCAGTTCCATCGAAGATGATAGACTCCTCTCCTCATTAGTTAGAGCCGATGACGGGAGTCACTCGGAGAGCCGCTGGAACTCCCCGCGCCATTCACTACCTCCTGCCCGAGCATCGTGGGGCTGATATCCGTAGACGATTCCGGAGAGGTCGGTCTCCGAAACGAGAAGTATCGTTCTGTACTGTTCGGGAAGAGTCACTGGCAAACAGCGTCTGGGGGAGCAGCGAGTCAGGAAATCAACAGGAAATCGTAATTCTCATTCAAGACTGTATCCCAACTGATATACCGCGGAATTAAAGTCAGGAATGGCCGACATGTCCATAAACGACTGCAAAAACGATTGGCAGCTTATTCAAGCCTTCGGGGAGCGGAATGAAACGGAAATGAATCACTGAAGAGCGCTGTGGAGTTCAACGCTACTCTGGTTTGGAGTAATGGGGTCGATCTGGGAGGAAACACGGATGACTCATGCGCGAGCCCCGAGCACGAAATATCACGGTGGGGAGAGGCTCCATCGGAACTGGCTGGCGCGCGATGTAGAGAATCATGCCAACAAACCTTCTGCTTCGCTCTGAGCCATCCCAAACTACACCGACTCTCAATACTCTAGATGATATCGTTAGCATTGCACGAGCCGAGAAGCAATCCATACGGCGCGGAACTAGAAAAGGACCAGCAAGCAAGGGATCAATTTTCAGCATTCCAGAGCCGATGCAGCGCTTTCCAGAGGAGACGGGGCTGGGTCCAGCGGGCTCCAGGCCATCCTGCTCAATGTGCGATACATGCGTCGGATATCAATGAGAATACGGAACCTGACCTACCTCCCTAATGCCGACACATCCCTGATCTATCGCATTCACCTCACCAGCGGTGAAAATTCATTGCACGAGAACCGGAAACCGGGACTTTTTCCTCAATTCCACCCTCCGGAGACGCATCATCCGGCCGGAATCGATGTGGGAATATATTGTGAGGTTCACCCGTCAGGGAAGATTCACGATACACGTAGCGGGTCCCCGTGCGAGACGGCATCATAAACAACAACAAACCTCGGCTTCTCTCCCAAAAAGTCCCTATGGCTTTAAAGGGGATCTATGACAAGGAGTCTCCTGATGGGCGACGAGTTCCCTGAGCATCACGAGTGAACTTGCTCCTACGGATTCCTTCTTTCCTTCGGGACCTTGAGCGGTTGGGCCGAGCCACCGGGCTAAGATTCGTGTCGAGATCCCCGTCGCTGCAGCATGGAGTAATCCTCTTCCCATTCAAGAAGAGCGTCATCGATTCGTACCCGCCGACTACTCATCAAAGGTGGTGCGTTCCGGACTCCTCCCTCCTAAAGATCCCCGACGTGGATTCAGAGATGCCGACGAATTGTGCCGCGACATCAGAAGACTCCAATTCACGAGATGCCCCAATGAATGAGGGTCGATTTATTTACGGCCTGCAATCCATGATGGGCGAGAACGCCCTCAGTGTCGTCGACGCACTCAAGGAGTCCCGCGATTTCACGGCGGCGGACACAGCGCTGAGGAGCCTTACGATGCTGCAAGTGGTCTCCGACGTGGGCACTGGGGAGACGTTGTTGTGCATCGCCTACATCTTCGAGGCGACCCCGGTGCCGAAACCTGTCTAAACCGAAACCAGATCTACCGCCTAGTCAACTGTTGATCGGAGATAAGAATCTGCGTCACTACTCGTGTCAAGTATTAATGGAACATATGTATTGATGCGCTGGTCGGTGCCAGCGCCACTGACTATTGAAGAGCTAAGGATTGCAATAAACTTCGTAGCATCCGACCTTACTTATCCGAACCACAGGTTACAATTGGTGGCAGCAAGGGACGGGGATAACTGCAGCAACAATAACGCACAACTCCCGGTGAATCCAGCAACAATCGACGTTCTCACTTCTCTCATGGAGAACTTGATTCCCTACAATGACCTACCGCAGTTCAACCCGAAAGAACCCAAGAAATGGATGAGGCGCCTCGAGATGGATGCTACCGTGAACGGATGGAGCGAACAGAAAACCATGAGACTCGCCTACAGGACAATGGACGACACAAAAACCTGGTTCGTGACATCCAGTCCCTTCCATAAGTGGGAGAACTTCAAAATCGCATTCTTCGCACGTTTCCCTAAGGGCAAGAAGAAATCCCCAAGTGATTACTACAACCGGAAACGACTCG